TTTGGGTTGATTTTTGCTGATTTTGGGGTAATTTTGTCTGATTTTGGGTTTTTTGGCTTTTTTAGGTGTACACAGTGGTGGATGAGATGTTCCTGCCTGGGTTTTGGGCTGATTTTGGGTCATTTTTAGACATTTTTGGGTGACTTTTAGATATTTTTGGGATATTTTTGCTGAATTTGGGGTTATTTTTCCTGATATTTTATTATTTTTGTCTGATTTTGGGTTTTTTGGCTTTTTTTAGATGTACACGGTGGTGGATGAGATGTTCCTGGGGTTTGGGCTGATTTTTGTTATTTTAACTATTTTGGGTTATTTTTTAGGTATTTTTTGCCATTTTTTTGCCAATTTTGGGTTGATTTTTGCTGATTTTTGGTTGATTTTTGCTGATTTTGGGGTAATTTTGTCTGATTTTGGGTTTTTTGGCTTTTTTAGGTGCACACAGTGATGGATGAGATGTTCCTGAGTTTTGGGCTGATTTTGGGTCATTTTTGGACATTTTTGGGGTATTTTTGCTGATTTTGGGGTTGTTTTTCCTGATATTTTATTATTTTTGTCTGATTTTGGGTTTTTTTGGCTTTTTTTAGGTGTACACGGTGGTGGATGAGATGTTCCTGGCCGGGGAAATTCGGGAGACGAGCCAGACCAAGGTGCTGAAGCAGCTGCTGATGCTGCAGTCCCTGGAATGACCCAAAACCCCCCAAATTTCCCCCAAAAATCCTCTCCAAAATCCCCTCAAAAATCCCCCAAATCTTCCCCAAAACGGGGGCCCCTCCCCCCCTCATCAGTGTTATTGTGGTGTGTAAAAAATGTGAATTTCTGACCATTAAAGTGACCAAAAAGTGACCAAAAAAGAATAAAAAATGGACAAAAATGGGGTAAAATTCATTAAAAATGGGATAATGTGAATTAAAAATGAGCAAAAATGGGGTAAAGTGAAATAAAAATGAGCAAAAATGAGATTGAGTAAAAAATGAGCCAAAATGGGGTAAAATTCATTAAAAATGGGATGATGTGAAATAAAAATGAGCAAAAATGAGATTGAGTAAAAAATGAGCCAAAATGGGGTAAAATTCATTAAAAATGGGATGATGTGAATTAAAAATGAGCAAAAATGGGATAAAGTGACTGAAAAATGACCAAAAATGAGGTTAAAGGGGTAAAAAATGAACAAAAATGGGGTAAAATTCATTAAAAACTGAATGTGAATTAAAAATTACCAAAAATGGGGTTAAAAGGGTAAAAAATGAGCAAAAATGGGGTCAAATTCATTAAAAATGGGATAATGTGAATTAAAAATGAGCAAAAATGGGATAAAGTGACTGAAAAATGACCAAAAATGGGGTTAAAGGGGTAAAAAATGAGCAAAAATGGGGTACAATTCATTAAAAATTGAATGTGAATTAAAAATTACCAAAAATGGGGTTAAAAGGGTAAAAAATGAGCAAAAATGGGGTAAAGTGAAATAAAAATGGCCAAAAATGGGAATAAATGGGTAAAAATGAGCAGAAATGGGGTAAAGTGAGCAAAAAATGACCAAAAATGGGTCAAAGTGAGCGAAAAATGACCAAAAATGGGTTAAAATTGATTTAAAATGGGATTAAGTGAATTATTAATAGCAAGAATGGGGTAAAGTGAATGAAAAATTACCAAAATGGGGCAAAGTGGGTTCAAAATGGTGAAAAATGGGATGAAAATGATGAAAAATGAGAGAAGTGAATTAAAAATGAGCAGAAATGGGATAAAGTTGATGGAAAATGGGATAAAGTTGATTTAAAATGGGATAAAGTGAATTCAAAATGACCAAAAATGGGATAAAAATGAGTTAAAAATGACCAAAAATTGGCAAAGGTGGCACCAGAGACACCCAAGGGTGGCACAGGGACCCCAAGGGTGGCACAGGGACACCCAAGGGTGGCACAGGCACCCCAAGGGTGGCACAGGGACACCCAAGGGTGGCACAGGGACACCCAGGGGTGGCACAGGGACCCCAAGGGTGGCACAGGGACACCCAAGGGTGGCACAGGGACCCCAAGGGTGGCAGAGGGACCCCAAGGGTGGCAGAGGGACCCCCAAGGGTGGCACAGGGACCCCAAAGGTGGCACAGGGACCCCAAGGGTGGCACAGGGACACCCAAGGGTGGCACAGGGACCCCAAGGGTGGCAGAGGGACCCCAAAGGTGGCACAGGCACCCAGGGGTGGCACAGGGACCCCAAAGGTGGCACAGGGACACCCAAAGGTGGCACAGGGACCCCAAGGGTGGCACAGGGACACCCAAGGGTGACACAGGCACCCAGGGGTGGCACAGGGACCCCAAAGGTGGCACAGGGACCCCAAGGGTGGCACAGGCACCCCAAGGGTGGCACAGGGACACCCAAAGGTGGCACAGGGACACCCAAGGGTGGCACAGGCACCCCAAGGGTGGCAGAGGGACCCCAAAGGTGGCACAGGGACCCCAAGGGTGGGACTGGGACCCCAAGGGTGGCACTGGGGACATTGAGAATGGCACCGGGACCCCTAAGGTGGCACAGAGAGCCCAAGGGTGGCACAGGGACACCCAAGGCTGCAACCGGGACCCCAATGGTGGCACAGGGACCCCAAAGGCGGCACCAGAGACACCCAAGGGTGGGACAGGCACCCAGGGGTGGCACTGTCACCCAAGAGTGGCACAGGGACCCCAGGGGTGGCACTGGGACACCAGAGGTGGCACTGGGACCCCAAAGGTGGCACAGGCACCCCAGGGGTGGCACTGGGACACCCAAGGGTGGCACAGGGACCCCAAAGGTGGCACCAGAGACACCCAAGGGTGGCACAGGCACCTAGGGGTGGCACTGGGACCCCAAGGGTGACACAGTGACCCCAAAGGTGGCACAGGGACCCCAAGGGTGGCACTGGGACCTCGAGGGTGGCACTGGGGACATCGAGAATGGCACCGGGACCCCTAAGGTGGCACTGGGACCCCAAGGGTGGCACAAGGACACCCAAGGGAGGCACAGGCACCCAGGGGTGGCACTGGGACCCCAAAGGTGGCACAGGGACCCCAGGGGTGACACAGGGATCCCAAAGGTGGCACAGGGACCCCAAGGGTGGCACTGGGGACATCGAGAATGGCACTGGGACCCCAAGGGTGACACAGGGACACCCAAAGGTGGCACAGGCACCCCAAGGGTGGCACAGGCACCCCAAAGGTGGCACAGGGACCCCAAGGGTGGCACTGGGGACATCGAGAATGGCACTGGGACCCCAAGGGTGACACAGGCACCCCAAGCGCGGCACAGGGACACCCAAAGGCGGCACAGGCACCCCAAGCGCGGCACAGAGAGCGGCACGAGCGTCACGGCGCAGTTTTATTGCCCAGGTCCTGCGCCAACCTCCTGACCTCGGGGTTGGGGTACTCGGGGTTCTCGATGGCGCCGGGCCCGAACTTGAACTCCAGGAAGGCGCGGGGGTCGTTGGGCGCCTTGGCCACGACGCCCACGAAGGGCACGGCGCCCAGGGGCACCAAGAAGCGCTCGGGGAACTCCACGTCCTGCCGGTGCCCCAGCCACGTGTCCTTGGTCATGACGGCGGCGCCGGGGCGGACGTAGAACGGCCACAGGTCCACGTGGAGCCGGTTGGCGCGGCTGAAGTGCACGCGGTAAAATTCCCCCTCGGCGGCTTTTTCCCACAGGAAGCCGTCGGGATCCTCCAGCGGGCGTCCCGAGGCCGCCACGGCCGCCAGCCAGCGGCACTTGGGCACGTCGTCGCGGTAGAGCCCCACGTCCACGTCGTAATCCCACGGCACGATGTCGCCGTGCCGCACGGCGCCCAGCAGCGAGCCGCCCTCCAGCCAGTGGCGCACGCCCGCCGCCTCCAGCTGCGCCAGCACGTGGCGGGCGGTGGCGCGCAGCGCCCGCAGGCAGCACGGCGGCGTCCAGCGCCCGGCCAGCAGGTACTCGGGGCTCTGCGCCCGCACCGTGCCGAAGCAGCGCGCCGTCTCCTTGCCGCAGCCGTGCCAGCGCCGCCCGCCGTCCGGCAGCACCTCCAGCTTGACGCCGAAGCGCTCCAGCAGCGCCCGCCGGCGCGACTCCTCCGCGCCGCGGCGGCGCGGCGGCGGCACCGGCGCGGCCGGGAAGGAAGCCGGCAGCAGGAGGAGCCGCCAGCCGCGCGCCGCCGCCTGCAGGGACAGCGAGGCGGCCGCCGGGCGAGCCAGCGGGAAGGGCAGCGAGAAGAGGTCGCGCGTCCGCAGCAGCAGCACGGCCGGGGCGTCGTCCAGCGCGCCGCAGAGCTCGCCGCGCCGGTCGCTCCGCCGCTCGGCGTAGCTGTAGCGCGCCGTCCACGCTTTGACGTCCAGCTCCAGCTCCAAACACCGCGGCCGCCGCTGCCCCGCGGCCGCCGCCACCACCTTGGCGGTGCCGGTCTCCAGCGCGTCCCTCATGCGGCGCAGCAGCCCCGGCGCGGCGCGGGCGCCGTCCGGCACCAACGCCACGTGGCGCGTCCGCACCGCCAGCTCCGGCCGCGGCGGCGGCAGGTGAGGCTCCGGCCGCAGCGGCAGCGCGGCCGCGCCGGCGGGCAGCGGCGCCGGAGGGTACGGCGGCGTCTCGGAGGCCACCAGCACGGCCACGCCGGGCAGCGCGGCGAAGGAGCGGGCCGTGGCGGCCACGTCGTGCTCGGGGCCGTCGAACTCCAGGAGGATGACGGTGACGCCGGGGACGCCGTCGGGGACGCGCCGGGAGCGCCGGCACGGCGGCGGCGGCGGCGCGCCGGGGAGGAAACGGGAGAAGAGCAGCAGGAGGAGGTTGAGGGCGATGGCGGCGGCCAAGGCGGCCTGGCAGGGCGTGATTCTCATGGTGTGGATGAATTAATTAGTTAATTCGTTCGTTAATTAACGAGTTCATTGGGAGGTGTTGCTGTCGGTGGTGGTGATACCAGAGGTGACCGCGCGGTGGCGCTGTGGAGGTGGGAATGTTCATGAAGGGTTGTTAATGAGGTGTTCGTTAATTCTCCATAATTAAAGCCCGCCCTGCAAGTCTGTAGAAGAGCCCAAAAATCCCCTGTGACCCCCTCAAAGACCACCCCAAAAATCCCCTCGAACCCCCCACAAAAAATCACAGAAAAATCCTAAAAATCCCCTCTAACCCCCCAAAATCCCCTCTAAACCCCCACAAAAAAACAGAGAAAAATCCTAAAAATCCCCTCTAACCCCCCAAAATCCCCTCTAACCCCCACAAAAAACCACAGAAAAATACTAAAAATCCCCTCTAACCCCCCAAAATCCCCTCTAAACCCCCACAAAAAAACACAGAAAAATCCTAAAAATCCCCTCTAAC